GCCCATGCGCCACAACTACTGAGCCTGCTCTCTAGAGCCCTCAAGCCACAATTACTGAGCCTGTGTGCCATGGCTACTGAAGCCTGCACACCAGAGCCCATGCTCTGCAGCAAGAGAAGCCACCGCAAAGAGAAGCCTGCACGCTGCAACGACTAGTAGCCCTCGCTCCTCACAACTAGAGAAAAGCCCGCACACAGCAACGAAGACCCAGCGCAGCCAAAAAAAAGTTGTCCAAGGTAACAGTTGACGCTTGATAGGCCCTTGGTAAGGTGGTAACTAGTACAATGCCTTCTTTGAAAACTGTATCAATTTATGCTCCATCAGTATTTTGGAGCTATGTATCAAAAGCCTTAAAACTTAAATGTTCTTATTCTTTAACCCAGTAATTGAAGCAGTCCTTAGGTGGAAGGGAGGTGGAAGAAATTAAGAGAACTATTTATATGCAAAGATGTTTTTTCAGTGTTGTTTGAATAGCAAACTAAATAGGAAAGACAAACTAAATATTCAAGAATGGGAGGTATGGTTAAATTATAGTATAGACCTATGATACAGTACAGATAATATTTGGTAAGGGTCTACAACACAAGGAATTGGCTTTTATATTTTTATATTTAAAAAAAACACCTAACAGTAAATTTTTTTTTTTTTCCCCCCGCGGTACGCGGGCCTCTCACTGTTGTGGCCTCTCCCGTTGCGGAGCACAGGCTCTGGACGCGCAGGCTCAGCGGCCATGGCTCACGGGCCTAGCCGCTCCGCAGCATGTGGGATCTTCCCGGACCGGGGCACGAACCTGTGTCCCCTGCATCGGCAGGCAGACTCTCAACTACTGCGCCACCAGGGAAGCCCCCCCAACAGTAAATTTAACAGAATACCAAATATAACAATGTCATTATTATGGGAATGCCAAAGGAAAATACCATTTTATACTAAGCATATATTATTTTTATGGATGAGGTAGAAGAGACACTAAAATGAAAGAAGGAAAATGATCAGGAACATCCTAATTTTCCCTAGCCACAGACAGTTCAGATTTCTAATGGCCATTTTTGTACCTACATATTTAAAGATAATACCAGGAGTATCAATCTAGGTGTTTCAGAGGAGCGCAAGTGTCATTAAATGTTTGTTTTTTATTGCCCAGTTTGGGGAAGACCCCTCCCAGGACATGGACTCACTCTCTCTCTCTCTCTCTCTCTCACTCACACACACACACACACACACACACACACACAGCTGAGGAGTAAAAGCAGAAAGGAAACTAGAGTAAGTTGTGACTTAAAAGTGTTAGTGTTGAATAAAAAGTGCTGAGACAGGAAGATTTGAGGAGACTATAAGTTTTTAAATGGCAAGGTATTAGTAGTGACAGTTAATAAAAATGCATATGTATGTGCTTTTAGATTTACAAAATAGACTTTAGTAAGAGCTTTTTTTCTGATTCCTGAGAGTATATCAAAAGTTTTTCGTGCACTTTCTTACTAGATTCTTGGAAAAGTTAATTGTTAGCATGAACAGCCAGTAATCTATTATAAACTGGTTTGATAATCTGTTTTATAGCAAAGTTACTTCTAGTTAGTAGTACTCAAACTTTTTGAAATCCAAGGTAATTAAGATAATTTTGTGTTGATGGGGGATATCTATATTGTGTCAAGATTTCTCATGTAGATTTTGACCGAAGGCCACTTAAAATACAAAAGGTGAAGTAGAGCCCCCCAACAATCATTTTGAAGTTAGCTCTAAGGCTAATCTTCTGTAATAATGTTGTGGTATGTAAGAAAATATCGTTACTTTTTATAGCCACATAATGTACTAATGTATGTAATTTACTTTAAAATCATTCTGTAGGAAGGCACCAGTATGGCACAATATTAATAATTGTTAAGTATAGGTGATGTGTGCATTATAAAGTTGTGTCCACTTTTCTGCATGTTTGAAAAATTTCATAAGAAAAAAGAAAAACCTAGCATGCTTAAGTAGTCTTGTTAGAAAAGCTGAAGGAAAAATTACTCATAGCAATACTTAGAATAAGGTACGGTGTAGGATGAACTTTCTCCTTAGATTGAAATTATTATATGTAATGGATATATATTTTTCTAAACCTTATAGAGTTTAAATCAGAAATAGATGAATTTTGAGGTGTTCTTTACAAAATATATAATTGGAAAAGAGTATATGTTAAGCAAAAAGAGAAAAAGGAAGTGTGCATGTATCCATTACCTCATTAGACTGGATAAATTGGTGATCCCCCAGCACCCTCTTTCTTTGTCAGAGCACCACTTGGTGGTGATAAAGCTGTCAGGACACACAGCATTCTAAATGTAGTCTATAGTTGTGGTCACTTGCATCTGGGAACATTTAGTACTTCATTTTTTTTTTTTTTTAATCATTATACTCCCTTTATCTTGATTGGTACATAGTGGGCTTTTCCTCATTTTTGTTTCTCATAATTCTTTTTGAAGTTGGAGCTTTGATCCCCTGAGTTGATCCTCTTGTTCCTTCTCTTGTATTCTGTGTGTCTTTCTCCTTTATGCTCTAGGAGTTTTTCTCAATTTCAGTTATCTATTGAACTTTTTATTTATTCTCTCCAATTTTTATGAGGGTAATAAAGTGAAACATTCTGTTTCCATCCCCACCTTACCCCGATTTTAAAGTTTTGTTTCTCTGGAGTCTGGTTTTCCTGAAGTCTTTGATAAGCCTTAGTTAATTAGGAGCTCTAGGCCCTTAATGTATGGCAGGGTGTAGTAGAGGAGAGCCAGCCCTTGGGCTGAAAGCTCTGCCAAGAGGAAGAATAAGGAAAGCTTTCCTTTGGGGCAAGATTCTGCCGTAGTTCTCTGGATAGGAAATTCAATTTCTTCAGTAAATATTTCTCGAATTTTAGGTAAATTTGGATTTGTCTGCAGATCAGTGTAGGGATGAGTTGGTATATACTGCTGCTTATGTAGATCCCCATTTTCACTCCTACTTTTTACTTCTTTACTTGCTGATTGACACTTGGCCTCCCTCACTTCAGAGGGTTGCCGTGAAGAGCAAGAATAATTTTTATGTATGTTGCATAAGTTTGAAAGTGCTATAAAAAAATAATAGTACTAAGACGTCCCCAACATGCAAGTAGATATTGTAAGTTTGGAACATGAACTTGCTTTTTTCCATAAAATCATTATAATCTTGGTCAAGTTACTAGGTCAGCCCACATAAGTAGATTTTACCCAGTAATCTGGCTAATATGTTTTGTCTTTGTCTCAACAAGGAAAAAGACACTGTAAGTATTTTTTTTTTTTCTTGATGCCAGGTACATCAAAGCACTTGTTAAACAGCTGCACCTGTAGATGTGACTAGTTGGTTTTTGAGTCCTGTGGCATTGGCCAGAGGAGAAGCTCAGTGTAAAACATGTTTTAAGTCTCCTTCCCTGGAAATATATTGGGAGCTGGAGTGGGGAACCCATTTTTCAGAGGGGTGGAGAAATGGTTAAATAGCCATTCTCAAAGATAGGCAGAAGATGCGAACTAAAATACAGCCATCGGTGGACAGAGAACCTGGGTTTCTTCCATCATAGTATTTCTCAACATATGGTCTGCAGATCACTTTCTGCATCCTTAGAATGTTCATTAAAAGTGCAGGTTTCTACACACCCCTTCCCATCCTGTTGAATCGAAACAATAAACACATAATCCTACTTAGTACATGATTTTAAAATATAAGTTTCTTGTTGACAGGAATCACCTTTGTTATCTTCTCTCCTTCACTTTGCCTTGTAAGTAAATCGTCAGTTGTTCCTACTGTGGACGATAAAACAATTGTGTCCACAACTCTTGTCAGCTTTAGGTGTCAAGTTATCTTTGTGGTTATAAAAATCTAGTTTTGGAAGAGCAAATCCAGGAATAATCAACACATGCTTCCTTTACATAGAGAAAATAGGACTTCAGAGTACAGTTTCCAACTGCATTATATTAAACACATTTAAACTTTTTTGGACACTGATAGAAAACACAGTTCACACTTTAAGTATCTTAGTCCACGTTGGTAATTTACATCTAATTTTTAATTTGTAGTGCAAGAGGAACTTGTTTGGGGCAAACTATGTAATAAAGGAAGTTTTGTTATTAGGAATGTCTAGAGACCATGAGCCCTTAAACTGGTCTCATTTGCAAATAGCTCCCTGTGTAATTCAGTGTTTTCCTGAATATTACACAAAAATGCCAAAATGCAGACATAAATTAGATGCTAAGATTTTTTAATATATATGTGAATGATTTTTACATTGATCAAAGCATTCACTTGTATTTATAATAAATCATTGCTATAAAATTGAACTTAGAAAAGTTTGATTAAAAAAGGTGCTTTTAATTTGTGTTGCAAACTTTAATTTGAGAAGTAATTTTACTTCTTAGTACAAAATCTGAAATCTGCTGTTCTGATCCAGTCACCACACATAAAATACCTTATGAAGTTATTTTAGATGGCATTGTATTATATCAGAAAAGAAAACAGTAACAATTGACCCGTTAAATGAAAATTTGGTGTTTTTTTTTTTAATTTGGTGTTTTTAAAATCCCACTGGACCTCTATTGTCCAAAGAAGCCCTATGAATTTTTCAGTGAAAGAAATTAAAAAGGGAGAGGAGAGGACTTTTGGAACTCAAGGAGGAGTTGATTTTGAATAGCTTTTTCCCCTCCCTGGCTTTCATTAGTAGAGTGCTTATGCTTTCTTTGTCATCTTCAGTAATTTTGCGTTTTTGACATCCTGTATATCTGTAATTTATATTTCTCCTGAAAAGAGGTGCTTGTTAAAGAGAAGTTTTCACTTAGAAGTTTGGCAATGATAGAGCTGTGGTTGAAGTGTTTGGAGGAGACCATGAGGTCCGTGTTTCACTATATCACATGGTAAAAGACGACTTGGGGCTTTTTGTGGATGTAGGCCATGATGTTTGACAGGCCATCCTAGTGACTTATGAGTATTAAAGTCAAACAATTTTAAATCCTAATGACTTTGATTAACTCTTTTAGGGTCTCTGAAGTACACCATACTACGGTTTTGAAAGTCTTGTGTGGACAATGGCTACCCAAGGTTTGTATCATAGTCTTTAGTTACTGAATTGGGGCTCTGCTTCATTGCCATTAACCCAGTCTGGCTCAGATTCCCCTGCTTTCCTCTCTCCCTGCTTACTTGTCAGGCTACCTTTTGCTCCATTTTCTGCTCACTCCTCCTAATGGCTTGGTGAAATAGCAAACAAGCCACCAGCAGGAATCTAGTCTGGATGACTGCTTCTGGAGCCTGGATGCAGTACCATTCTTCACTGATTCAGTGAGTAACTGTTAGGTGGTCTCCTAAGAGTACAGATTTTTCATCACTGAGCTGATCCTGGCCATCATTCTCTTATCTTTGGCTGTCTTTCAGACTTGACTTTATTTCTAAAAAGATTTCAGTGAGTCATAGCATAGATTTTTATTCTCTAATTAAGGTAACATTTCCCTGGTAGTAATACTAGTGCTGTTTGATTTTTATAGCTGACTTGATGGAGCTGGACATGGCCATGGAGCCAGACAGAAAAGCAGCTGTTAGTCACTGGCAGCAACAATCTTACCTGGACTCTGGAATCCATTCTGGTGCCACTACCACAGCTCCTTCTCTGAGTGGTAAAGGCAATCCTGAGGAAGAGGATGTGGATACCACCCAAGTCCTGTATGAGTGGGAGCAGGGATTTTCTCAGTCCTTCACTCAAGAACAAGTAGCTGGTAAGAGTATTATTGCCTTACTGAAAGTCAGAATGCAGTTTTGAGAATTAAATAGTTATTCTAATAAAAGTTAGTGTATAATAGCTTAAATAAAATGGTGTGGTAAAGAGAAGGGAGTGATTGCAATATCACCATGACTGTTTAGGATAGCAAATACTTGGTGAATGCTGAGCTATGGATACTGAGTGTTGAATTTACCTTTTCCAGATATCGATGGACAGTATGCAATGACTCGAGCTCAGAGGGTACGAGCTGCTATGTTCCCTGAGACATTAGATGAGGGCATGCAGATCCCATCTACACAGTTTGATGCCGCTCATCCCACTAATGTCCAGCGTCTGGCTGAACCATCACAGATGCTGAAACATGCAGTTGTAAATTTGATTAACTATCAAGATGATGCAGAACTTGCCACACGTGCAATCCCTGAATTGACAAAACTGCTAAACGATGAAGACCAGGTAAGTAGTGACATGGCTAGCTTTTTAATCTGCTTTGAAGGAAACTCCCAAGGAAGTAGTCTTATAATATCTACCCAGTATCAGTATTTGAAAACTGGAAAATGACGTCTCTTAATTCCTGTACATTATAGGTGGTGGTTAATAAGGCTGCAGTTATGGTCCATCAGCTTTCTAAAAAGGAAGCTTCCAGACACGCCATCATGCGTTCTCCTCAGATGGTGTCTGCTATTGTACGCACCATGCAGAATACAAATGATGTGGAAACGGCTCGCTGTACTGCTGGGACCTTACACAATCTTTCCCATCATCGTGAGGGCTTGCTGGCCATCTTTAAGTCTGGGGGCATTCCTGCCCTGGTGAAGATGCTTGGGTAAGAAAACATGGTCAGAATGCTGCAAGCTCAGAAGGAGAAGAGTGCAATCACAACATTTCTGATGAGACTTTTTTCTTCTTCCCAGTTCACCAGTGGATTCTGTATTGTTTTATGCCATTACAACTCTCCACAACCTTTTATTGCATCAGGAAGGAGCTAAAATGGCAGTGCGTTTAGCTGGCGGGCTGCAGAAAATGGTTGCCTTGCTCAACAAAACAAATGTTAAATTCTTGGCTATTACAACAGACTGCCTTCAGATTTTAGCTTATGGCAATCAAGAAAGCAAGGTAAAAGAATTGTACTGAATGTGGGAGCATGGGAGACCCCCAATGTCATGTCCTTCTATGGATTTTGGCAAATTCGTTGTATGCCTCACCCTTTGTATGTATCCTGGAAAAGTTGGACATCTCTATTTCTTTAAATATTTGAGTTGTCAGTATGTAATGCACTAATGCTAGGTGATAGGGATATAGCATGCAAGCTTCTCTTAAAGCTTTTATTCTTGGGTGGAAGAGAGACACTGAAATAATACCCTATTTACTATTTAATTCGTGTGTTAGGAGGAAGTAAAGGGGCTATGAGAGCATGTAAATGAACCAGACCCTCTTTTGAGGGTTCAAGCAGATTTCTTGGAGAAAGTGATAGTTGAGTTTAGCTCTTGAGGATAAGATGGGATTGATTAAAGGTGAATGAAGGTTAGGGAGAGGAAATGGCATCTTTGACAGTTCTGCTGAGGGAGGAGCAGGGCAAGATTTGGAAATTCAAGAAATGCAAAGAGTAAGGAAGAGGAAGTGTGTGAGGTGAGACTGTTGAGATAGGGCAGATCCTGCAGGGCTTAGTGGAACATGTTAAAAGAATAATGCGAAACAGTTTTTAGCAGAGGCCTGAAGTGATGAGATGTGTTTTCAGATCGGGGTAGAGTCAGGAGGTGGGGGTGTGCGGGGGAGTAAAGGGCAAGAACGACTATTTTATGCTGTCTCTTTTTGAGGTGGTTATGATTAGGAATAGCAAAGAGCCAGATCATTAAGAGTTTTTAAGTGCCCATTCTGGTTCACATTTTCACTCAACATTGGCTTTGATGTAACTTGTGTATCTGGGCATTACTGTTTCATACCAACACGGTGTTTGGTTGTTTTTGTTTTTCCTTTTACTATGATCAGTGTGGGAAGAAGAAAACTGGGCCAGAGTTTATATATTTTTGGGAGGACTGGGGTGCATGAATTTGAGTGAAATGTTGTACAAGGAGGGGTTAAATAGGGCCCCAGTATGGGGGTCTAGCTAATGACGACCAGGAATATATTTAAGTCATTAAGCTGGCTGAAATTCTTGTATAATAAAATAGGTTGGTAATAGTAGCTTTTCTCAGGCATTTGATCAAGATTCCGTGACTAACAATATATACGCATCTTTCTAGCTGATCATTTTGGCTAGTGGTGGACCTCAAGCTTTAGTGAATATAATGAGGACCTACACCTATGAGAAACTACTGTGGACCACAAGCAGAGTACTGAAGGTGCTGTCTGTCTGCTCTAGTAATAAGCCGGCTATTGTAGAAGCTGGTAAGTATACTTGTCTATTCTGGGTTCTCATGTTTGCAGCACGTGTAGTTCTAATTAGATTACCTTTCTTAGGAAAAGGGTGATAGAACTGACCTTAACAGGCTGAAAGTAGATGGTCCTATTCAGTTTGAAGCCAAAGTTGCATTCAGACAAAGTGTATGTTCTGCTAGACACCTTCTTTGGTGCTATGCAAGCCTAGTTTAGGCAGTGTTCATATTACCCATCAAAAATGATGGCTAGGAGCTTCCCTGGTGGTGCACTGGTTGAGAGTCCGCCTGCCAATGCAGGGGACACGGGTTCGTGCCCCGGTCCGGGAAGATCCCACATGCTGCGGAGCGGCTGGTCCCGTGAGCCACAGCTGCTGAGCCTGCACGTCTGGAGCCTGTGCTCTGCAACGGGGAGAGGTGACAACGGTGAGAGGCCCGCGTACCGCAAAAAAAAAAAAAAAAAAAAACACAAAAAAATGGTGGCTAATACTTGGCTTGATAACAGCTATTCCAGAAATACCTGGAATGTGTGCAACAAATACAGATTTTTAGACTTACTTAATCAGAATCCCTGGAGTTTTGAGGTGACAAGAGAGTCAGTAGGTAGCTGGAAATGTATGGGACTGGAGGCCTAGGAATCTTGAATTTTAGAAGTTCCCTAGGTTATTCTGATGCTCATTTGTTTATTCTGAAAATATTCAGCCCCTGTGTTTCAAGCACTGTAATAAGCACATGGTATACAGTGGATAACAAAATAGGTATGGTCCCTGTATTTATTCTTATAGGTGGTGAAGGTGACAAAAATATGCAGAAAGATGGAGTGATCACATTGCAATGAATGTCACAAGAGAAATGAACAGCAAGCAAATAGTGATACAGAATTAATGGGGAGGGAAGGGGCTTCCTTGAGGGGGGGGATGTTAAGTGAAATTGCAGAATGAGAAGGTGTAAGCTATATGAGAAGGATTAAGTGCCTTCCAGATGGTCCTGAAGGTAGGAAAGAAATTGTTGAGTTCTAGGTGCCGAAGAGAAAGTCTGTGTAACTAGAACCTAGTGAGTAAATGGGATGAATAGCTCAGGATGAGGGTAATGAGCTAGAGCCAGGCAGGGCTATATTGTGCAGGAGTTTCTAGGTCCCTGGAAGATGTTTATTCATGCTTTATTCCAGCTTTGGAAACACAGGTGTAGAATGCTTAGGTCAATTTGAAATACTAGGTGGGATCCAAATCCTAAAGGGCTCCTGAAGGTTATGCTAAAGCATTTGGTCTTTATCTTTCTTTTTTTAAAAAAATTAATTATTTTTGGCTGCGTTGGGTCTTCGTTGCTGTGCGCGGGCTTTCTCTAGTTGCGGCGAGCAGGGGCTACTCGTCCTTGCGGTGTGTGGGCTTCTCATTGCGGTGGCTTCCCTTGCTGCGGGCTTTGGGCACGTGGGCTTCAGCAGTTGTGGTGCAAGGGCTCAGTAGTTGTAGCTTACGGGCTCTAGAGCACAGGCTCAGTAGTTGTGGCGCACAGGCTTAGTTGCTCTATGGAACGTGGGATCTTCCTGGACCAGGGCTTCAACCCGTGTCCCCTGCATTGGCAGGCAGATTCTTAACCACTGCACCACCAGGGAAGTCCCTGGTCTTTATCTTATAATGAGAAGCTATTGATGGCTGTTGAGCAGTGGCACAGCATCACAGTGAGGTGTTGGGAATATTAATACTAGCATCGTATGACAGTTCGAATGACCAAAGGCAAGCAGACCAGGCCACTGGGATGTTACAGGCTTCTAGGAATGAAGTCATTAGATATTAAAAATACATAGCAAAGGATGAATGTTATTTGAGTTGACATATTCAAAGTGACTAAAGATCAGTAGGTAGCTGGCAATGTATGCTACTGGAATGCAAGGGAAGACTGGGCTGGGATAGAGATTTGGGAGTTGCCCTCTTAGTGTATGTGAGTAAGGGCTACAGGGAAGAGGCGGGGGTGCCTCTAAGCCATCTGCACCGGACTTTTACCCTGGGCATGCTGAATCAGAATGTGTGTGTTTAAGTCTCTCAGGCTATTCTGAGAGGCATCTGGAACTAAGATCCACTCTCTTAACAGTGGAGGGAGGGAATGAGATCTGAGGGGAATCAAGTCTTTTTTCTCTAAATATAATTTTACTTTTTTTAAAAAAATTATTTATTTATTTGGCTGCGCCAGGTCTTAGTTGCAGCACGTGGGATCTTCGTTGCGGTGTCAGGGATCTTTTAGTTGTGGCACGAGGGGTCTTCAGTTGCGGCATGTGAACTCTTAGTTGTGGCATGTGGGATCTAGTTCCCTGACCAGGGATCGAACCTGGGCCCCCTGCATAGGGAGCATGGAGTCTTAGCCACTGGACCACCAGGGAAGTAGCATCAGCCTTGTGCTCTCTGTTAGCAGCTGGAGCTACTGTGAGGAATGAACCAGATAGGGATGATATTGTCTTACTGTAGGGGTGGTAGGCTAAATTATAGTTGTGATAAATGCTGTGAAGGGAAAAGTACAGGGTGCCGTGAGAATTATAGCAGGTAGACCTAACCTAATTGAGGAAATAAAGCAGACCTGAAAAGATAAACAAGGAGACAAGGGAAAGCACATCCCACTGCATTTAGAAGTGATGTCGGTAGGAGAGAGATGGTAAAGTTAAGCCAGTGTGTGGGGAGTTGAGCTTCCATTTAGACTCCTCTGCCAGTGTAAACGTCCTTCATTAGGGTCCTAAAATGATGGAAGGTTGTGAAACTTGGAAGCACATCTTTTGAGTCAGTGTCTTTTATACAGTCCGAGACGTTAAGCATTCTGGTGCCTTCTTTTTGGATTGTTCTCACCCCATGAGTTTACATAACTCCTTCAGGTCTTTGCTCAGATGTCACCCTTCACACTTAGGTGACCTAATTACCCTACTTAAAAATGTAGCCCCCTCCTTTGTCTTGTGTTATGTTTTTTGTAGCACTTAACACCATTTGACACACTGTATAGTTTTAGCTTACTAGTTGTGTATTTGTTCATTGTCTACCTCCAAGTAGACCATGAGCTCTGTGAAGGTAGGAATTTTAGACTGTTCTGCTCACTGGTATAGCTCCAACTCAAAACAGAGCCTGGTATTAAATATTTTTGAAATAATTGGATGAAGGGAAATAAGTAATAGGAATATTACCTACAGGGGGACTGTGGAGAGAATGAAGGCTTTTTCCACACGGGGGAGGAACAATAGATATTTGACAGAAATTGTCACTAGGTGAGATGAACTGGAAGAGAAAGGGAAACTGAGCAGCATTGTAGAAAATGAAAGGAAATAAAGGACTTCGATGGAGGGGATAAGCTTTGGCAATAAAGAGGGACACCTTCTAAGACTAGAGAAGACACTTTGTACTGATACGACTTGTGAGCTATTAGCCATCGCCTTAGATACTTTAAAATCTTTTTAGGTGGAATGCAAGCTTTAGGACTTCACCTGACAGATCCAAGTCAACGTCTTGTTCAGAATTGTCTTTGGACTCTGAGGAATCTTTCAGATGCTGCAACTAAACAGGTAAATTCTGAGTAAACTGGTGCCTTAATGAAAAGAGTCAAGCTGAATATGTCCTGAGCGTCTGTTTTCATCTCCATAGGAAGGGATGGAGGGTCTTCTTGGGACCCTTGTTCAGCTTCTGGGCTCAGATGATATAAATGTGGTCACCTGCGCAGCTGGAATTCTTTCTAATCTCACTTGCAATAATTACAAGAACAAGATGATGGTGTGCCAAGTGGGTGGTATAGAGGCTCTTGTGCGTACTGTCCTTCGTGCTGGTGACAGGGAGGATATCACTGAGCCTGCCATCTGTGCTCTTCGTCATCTGACCAGCCGACACCAGGAAGCTGAGATGGCCCAGAATGCTGTTCGCCTTCACTATGGACTGCCAGTTGTGGTTAAACTCCTACATCCACCATCCCATTGGCCTCTGATCAAGGTAAATTGTCAGTGAAAGTAGAAGGTTGCAGAATTGAAAATGAACTGCCTCTGACTATTATTAGATGGCTGTCTAGGCACCGGGCATTGGTAAGTAGGAGTTGTATGCTTTAGTAAATAGGAAATATGTCTGGGATGGAGGTGAGGGTTTGAAGTGTTTCTGTAGTCAGTTTTACTTTCAAGTGATAGATGTAGTGTGTTAGGAATTTTAGGGTAAGAAAATGGTTTTGTTGAGTTGTTTGCCAGTTCTTTACTCTTCTTTTCTGCAGGCTACCGTTGGATTGATTCGAAATCTTGCCCTTTGTCCCGCAAATCACGCACCTTTGCGTGAGCAGGGTGCCATTCCACGACTAGTTCAGTTGCTGGTTCGTGCACATCAGGATACCCAGCGCCGTACATCTATGGGTGGAACACAGCAGCAGTTTGTGGTAGGTAAATCTTAATAGTGACATCTGGCTATTTAAAAGGAATGCAAAAATCCATAAGATCCTGAACTACTGAGGTCATTGGCTTCCTCCATCCTCCTGCCTGCCTGAAGGGCTGCTTGCTATTGACTAAAAAAACTGACATGTCTCTTGTCTCTGTGGCTGCATAGAAGAAGATAAGGAGTAATGTGGCCCCTAGTGGTATGTCCTTTGACATGTCCTTAACATCGTTGCCTCCTCAATCGTACAAAGGGGGTATGGAGTGTGATTTACTGCTTTGGGGTCTCATTTAATCCATACAAAAGGTTCACATCCTTAGGAAGTAGCAGAGCCATAATTTGAATCCAAGTCTGTCTGATTTCAGAGTCTCTTATCCCCCACTGCAGTTCTACCTATAAATGTTTAACGTACCTTTTACTAGCTCTTCCAAGAGTGGTTTAAAACTATTTCCCTGGACTTAACGAATGCCAACAAATTACAAGACTAAGTAGTAGCATTTCTGGGATCTTTACCTATAATCTTAGCCTGGAACTTTGATGTCAAGTTTGCGGTCTTAAAACTAGCTTCATTACAAGTATCTAAAGACACTTCTGATTCCTCAGAATGTGTTTTAAGACTCAGACCTTCAAAGATTCTCTCGTATTTAATCAGGTTACTTTAGAGAACAAGACTTTACAAGAACAGATCTTGGGACTGATTGCTAGTTGTGATATGGATGCACTCATTAGGAGGCTTTGCCTTTCTCTATTCATTACTTTTGGTGTTGGCCTGTCTCCATGAGGTGGCTTAATAGAATGCAAAGGGTACCTTTTAAAATCTCTCTAGGAAGAAAGGAGCTTTTGTGTCCTTATAAAAATGAAGTTGAATATAAAAGCTGCCGCAAGTAGCAGAATTATGACCTTTTAAAAAACTCAGCTAGAGGGAGAGCAGATTGTAGTTATATTTTGCAAAAGCTGTAACTTCCTTCTCCCGTATAGGCTGTCAGTTGAATAGTCTTGGAGGAGGTGAGTGCATTTTCTACTGGCAGCTCAGTAGAATTTTAGCAGTTGGTGACAAAACTTTGCTAAGTTTTCACCAAATACACATAGATGTACAAAGGTAGAGGGAGCATCTGAAAGAAAACACTGACATAGTCTGCACGTCACTTTCCCATCTTTGTGTATCTTTTCTCTATATATCCCTTTACCCAGAGTGACTGGTGCCCTGACTGTAAGAAAGTTATCTTTGGGATTCAGAGGTATATTGAAGCTGTGCTTTGCTGTGCCACAGTACCGTGATGGGGGAGGGGTGCTGCTTGGAATTAGTGCTGACAAGAGGCCACTTTCAGAAAGTGACATTCAACTGAATGGAGTCCACCTTCATTCCTGAACTTAATTAATTGCAAATTCGGGGGAACTTTGGGTTTATAATGTGAATAACTAATCTAGTAATTGCTACTCAGAACAGAAAGCCTTTCAAGTATATAAACTTTAGAGAGGACAATGCCCTATTTATTAACCATATTTCTTTTGGTAGGAGGGGGTCCGCATGGAAGAAATAGTTGAAGGTTGTACTGGAGCCCTTCACATCCTAGCTCGGGATGTTCACAACCGAATTGTTATCAGAGGCCTAAATACCATTCCATTGTTTGTGCAGGTATGTTGCTTTTAAGTGAGGTGTTCTAGATTCTGTGTGTCAGTAGAATTTCAGGATTTTAAAGATAAGCAAAATATCAGGAAATTAGAGACCAAAATAGGGGCACCAGCATTTAATTTTTCATCTACTATCACCATTTCTAAAATGGCAGTACTGCCCATGCTTCCTGTTCAAAGTATAAAAAATAGAATCTCAATGTGTCATGTCCTTTTAGTTGAATACATTTATGAAAAATTCCCTTCGTTTTTCTTGGGCAGTAGAAGGAGAAACATTGGGACTAGAACCTCAAGAAAGGAAGGAGACTTTCTCCTCCACCTTTAGGGTTGCTCAGTTTTGAAGGGACGAAAGCTGGTCTGGGCTGCTAGAGCACAGGCCTCCAGCCACCTCTGGGTCTTCCAAGTTTTAGCTTGAATAAAACTCTGAAGAAAAGGTTCATAGCTAAAAATGCTCTAGAAACCCATTGCTCCTGAGCATCACTCAAGAACATAAATTTAGAGTTTATGATTTAATACAAGCAAGTACAAATACCGCTTACACTCTGACTTGGGAATTGGGAATGTTTACAGTGCAATGGGGTGCTTGTCATGTTTTAACTTTAGGCTTAATTAGGTTTTGGGTGTATGTTTTCTCCTTAGCTGCTTTATTCTCCCATTGAAAATATCCAAAGAGTAGCTGCAGGGGTCCTCTGTGAACTTGCTCAGGACAAGGAGGCTGCAGAAGCTATTGAAGCTGAGGGAGCCACAGCTCCTCTGACAGAATTACTTCATTCTAGGAATGAAGGTGTGGGTAAGTAGGAAAGGAACCAGAGCCTTTAGCTTGTGTACAGTGACGCCTCAGCTTTTCCTCAAGGACCTTTATTCCATCCTTCTCCCAGCAACATATGCAGCTGCTGTTTTGTTCCGAATGTCTGAGGACAAGCCACAGGATTATAAGAAACGGCTTTCGGTTGAGCTGACCAGTTCTCTCTTCAGAACGGAACCAATGGCTTGGAATGAGGTAGGCAGCGTGAGCACGTTTATTTGGCTGTTTGCTAGAGCAGGTATAAGGCGGTTTGTGGTTTCCTCTCAAACCACTCAGTACACGTTCATTTGCACTGACTGTGTCCTTGGCTTGAACATTCATTCTTTACACTCTTTTAGTCACTGCTGTGAGGAAAAACTACAGCTTTAAAAACAGCCTATTCAGAACAAACAAGTTAGAATTTCCAAGGGAGACAGATGAAAAAGTTAGCAGATTAAAGAGCAGTTTTCAAAAGGTTGTTAGGAAAGAGGCAGTCTATTAACCACTGTTAGTTGGAGGTCGGTTTATCAGTACTTAAAAAATGCTCAATTTTTCACCTACTTTTCTACTTGAATTTCTATTAATTTGTTCAGTATTTGTCCTCAGTACAGTTGTTCATTGAAACAGTAGAACCACCCTGAAAGTTTTTTCAATTATGGTACATAGTCATAAAGTGAATTATATTTGTTGAATGAATGGAGAGAGATCCTGTATATTGTTAGGTGGAAAAAAAATAAAGCAAACTGCCCAACAGTGAGTAGTATGTTAGTTGGCTGTTTAATAGGCAATCTTAATATGTTCCAACTTGAGCTCTGAACTTCCTCACCCACTCCCTTTCTCCAGACCTCTCCTCTCACAGTTAATGGCAACTTCGTTCTTCTAGCCGCGCAGGCTCTAAAAGTCTTTTCATATAACATATCCTGTCAGCAGCTCCTTTTGGGGGTAGACACTTTGCCTGTTTTGTTTCCTGTTACATTTCTAGCACCAGGAACAGTGCCTGGCACGTAGTAAGTACTTAATAATGTATACTTGTGGAAAGAATAAATTAGTATTTTTAATACTGTGTGCAGTGGGAAAACATGTTTCTCTAGGTATCTCTAGGTATCTTTGAAGGGTAGAGTTTGAAGTATTTCTGTATCGTATACATCTGTATTTCAAAGTAATTCTGCATTTTCTAAGTATTTCTATATAATGTTTGAGTTCTTTATTCTTTTCATAATCTGAAAATAAGTATGTTTTCAAAATATTGGACAGTATGCTTTGAGTTGAGAATTTTCATTTTGCTTCTTTGCTTTATACCTGTTTATCTAGACTGCTGATCTTGGACTTGATATCGGTGCCCAGGGAGAACCCCTTGGATATCGCCAGGATGGTATGTGTCTCACATTTCTTGATTATCTCCAGATCAAGCTAAAGGTCCAAAGCTTTATCAAAAGAGCTGGTTTGCTCATCTGGGAAACCAGTGTTGGCAGGAAAGTAGTGGTAGCAATTAAAGGCAGTTCTTAAATTCTAGAGTCAGCAGTACTATCTTTATTGGAGCACAGGGAATTCTGAGCCACACACTGAGCAAGCAGTAGGATCACACCAATAAACATGTGTCACTACTGCTAGGCCTCCGCAGTACAGTGCAGGATGTACAAGTCGCCTGGCTTTTTATTCTGTTTTTTTTGTTCAGAGAACCCATAATACCTGTGTCTACAACCCACCCAGGAAGTGAGAGTATGGAAACTTCTGTCCCCAGGCTCAGCTCTGGGACGGGTATTTACATAGTTAGCTTTGCAGAAAACTCTAAAAATACAATTCATACCTGGGTAGTGGCGAGTGGAGCATAATTAGGGGTAGACCACTAACAGCTGTAACTATTCATCTTAAATTTATAATCTTACCTGGTTTTTCCTAGTTAATAAACCACTAAAGCTTATAAGCTTCTTACCTTCACAGGTACATGTTGTTAACCCTTAATACAAAACATATAAAGGTTTCATTGGAAACTGGCACATTTTCTTTGTACTTTTGTGGGTGTCGCCTGGACTTTCTACCAAATAGATTACAGTTGCCAGACCTCCTTGTTATTGCCTTCACCTCCTGCCATGACTCCTTGATGCCTAGGTGTCACACACAGTAGATTGCTTGCTGCTGCTCCCCCCTCAGGAACCTGTCCCTGCCTGGGTAAATGCCAGAGGCCCAGGACTAGAACCTGCTGGTCTGCCTTTGGTGGAAACAGGCTTTGTGTGGCCTCATGGGTGGCCTGGCACTGGCACTTAGCTGAAGAAAGCCAGAAGTTGAAGAGGTTAGAAAGCATCGCTTTCTGACAAGCTTGCTGCCCTTGGATGTCCCTAACCTTAGTGTTCACTTTTATGTCGTCTCTCTTTCTCTCTCTCTCCCTTACCCATTTCGTTGCTACCCCTGACTCTCCTAGATCCCAGCTATCGTTCTTTTCACTCTGGTGGATACGGCCAGGATGCCTTGGGTATGGACCCCATGATGGAGCATGAGATGGGCGGCCACCACCCTGGTGCTGACTATCCAGTTGATGGGCTGCCAGATCTGGGGCATGCCCAGGACCTCATGGATGGGCTGCCTCCAGGTGACAGCAATCAGCTGGCCTGGTTTGATACTGACCTGTAAATCATCCTTTAGGTAAGAAGTTAAAAAAGCCAGTTTGGGTAAAATACTTTTACTCTGCCTACAGAACTTCAGAAAGACTTGGTTGGTAGGGTGGGAGTGGTTTAGGCCTATTTGTAAATCTGCCACAAAAAAAGATACATTGAAAGGAGATGTCTTGGAACATGTGAATGTTCTCAGATTTCTGGTTTGTTACGTGGTCATGTGTGGAAGTTATTAACTTTAATGTTTTTTGCCACAGCTTTTGCAACTTAATACTCAAATGAGTAACATTTGCTGTTCTAAACATTAATAGCAGCCTTTCTCTCTTTATACAGCTGTATTGTCTGAACTTGCATTGTGATTGGCCTGTAGAGTTGCTGAGAGGGCTCGAGGGGTGGGCTGGTATCTCAGAAAGTGCCTGACACACTAACCAAGCTGAGTTTCCTATGGGAACAATTGAAGTAAACTTTTTGTTCTGGTCCTTTTTGGTCGAGGAGTAACAATACAAATGGATTTTGGGAGTGACTCAAGAAGTGAAGAATGCACAAGAGTGGATCACAAGATGGAATTTATCAAACTCTAGCCTTGCTTGTTAAAATTTTTTTTTAAATATCTGTAATGGTACTGACTTTGCTTGCTTTGAAGTAGCTTTTTTTTTCTTTTTTTCTTTTTTTTTGCAGTAACTGTTAGTTTTTTAAGTCTCTCATAGTGTTAAGTTATAGTGAATACTGCTACAGCAATTTCTAATTTTTAAAAATTGAGTAATGGTGTAGAACACTAATTCATAATCACTCTAATTGTAATCTGAATAAAGTGTAACATTGTGTAGCCTTTTTGTATAAAATAGACAAATAGAAATGGTCCAATTAGTTTCCTTTTTAATATGCTTAAAATAAGCAGGTGGATCTATTTCATGTTTTTGATCAAAAACTTTATTTGGGATATGTATGGGTAGGGTAAATCAGTAAGAGGTGTTATTTGGAACCTTGTTTTGGACAGTTTACCAGTTGCCTTTTATCCCAAAGTTGTTGTAACCTGCGGTGATACAATGCTTCAAGAGAAAATGCGGTTATAAAAATGGTTCAGAATTAAACTTTTAATTCATTCGATTGTGTCACCTTTTTTTCCTTGTCACTTAGTGGTTTGCGAGGGTAATAAATTATTTCACTATGTGTCTTCCTCAGGATGAAGTTGAATAAACTTAAGTAATGATGGAAAGAGCCTTACTGCTAATAGACGGAATTGTTTGTTTGCCAAGCTTCTTTAGCACTTACCCCTGGGTTAAATTGCACCAAAAGTGTTTCAGCCTTGAACGTTGATTCTGAGCTTGTGTAAGAAGAGGGGGGAGTCCATCGTCTCCAACTGAAGGACTCTGGGCTTAGAGCTATGGCCAAGACTCCTTCATCCTGGCTGCAGCCACGTGTATAAATCCTGCCCACGTGACTAAAGGCATCTAGTTCTTTGGCTTTCAGTTTTGTCCCGTGTTGCCCAATAGGCATCCCCCACCCCAGACTCCATCACATGGTTTCATTCCTTTAAGGTAATAATGAAGAATTACTCACCTGGATTTGGACTTCAAGCACCTTCACAGAAGTGTGACTCATTTGGAGCGGGGAATTCCTTCAACTCCACTTTGAACTGATAGTTAAGATGGTTTACCTGCTGGTGTTTATCTGAATATATCAGAGAGAACTAGAATGGGCCTTCTTCCATGCTGTCTGCCAGGTGAGCCTGTCATCCTGGTGGTAGGTCTGACAGGCGTAGTTCATCCCTGAGGGCAGAGTCAGTAGACCTGTTTGTTAGAACTTGTGTTTTGGGCTTTAAAAAGCATGGAAGTGTTTTGTGCTTAGGGAGGGCTGTTTGTTTGTGATTTACTGTGTATTTAAAAACATGTATTCAGTACCTTTTTGTTGGATGAGGACCCTTTGAGAAAGCTTTATAAATTCTTCCCTGTGGTCTAAGATGTAATTGGGATTGGAGAGGAAACATTTGTGTACCTGGTGAGGGGGCAGTTGTGCCTCCAGTGCATGACACAGAGAACCAGGGCAGCACTGCATGAACTATTAGGTAGGCTAGAGCTATTGGTTAGAGCGAAGATCTCTAGTGAGTTCAGCTTTTAACATAAAGAACCACAGCAGGGTGTGTTGTTTTTTTTAAACCAGAAAACATTTCAGAGCTTTGCCTAAAATCATAGTTTTGAAGTTCCATGTAAAAACTTTATATGAAGGTTAATCTGATTCAGCAAAGGTAGTTCTGCAGTGCACTTAGAAGGACAAAGAGCCAAGAACGGCAGAGACACTTGTGAAGAATAAGATGACTGGAGGACTTGTTCTGTCAGCTGTCAAGGCCTAACTGTAAAGCTAGAGGTGGTAGAATTTACACTGTTATTGGCACGTGTGTAGAAGTATACACTAAGGGAACAGAATAAGATGAAGACAATAGACACTTTAAGGGTAGCACTGGAGGTCAGTGTGAAAAAGAGGGACGTTTTAGTAAAAGTGTAGAACAGTTAGGTAGCCATTTGGATAAAACTGAAATTAATGCAAGAAAAAATCCATGATCAACAAAATGTCAAAAGTCCTCACTGGAAGCCCACGTGTCCAATAATTTGCAAGAGAATGGCCGCAATGCAGTAAAAGACTACAGCTTCAACACAATAGTATGGGTATGTCTCAAATATGATACTGAACAAAAGCAAGTCACAAATGCATGCCGTAGGACTGCACTGGTGCAAAAAGAAAGGCAAACTGTTTTAAGGAGATCATCCAGAGATAGTAAAACTAAAAAGCAAGAAAATTTAGATTACCACCAAAAAACAGAATAGTGGTTACCTGGGGATGGAGGTGCGTAGGACATCTGATCCCATTGCAGTGACCACCAATGAGCTGAAAAATGAAGCTTTTCCATGTTGGAAGAGGTGTTCTAGACATGAGGCTTTGATCTGGTTATTGGAATCCTTGACAGTGAAAGATCTTGAGATAAATATGTCTTGATTAGTGTAATAAAAACAGAAGATCCGAATCGTGCCATATGGTTTGTAAACCAGCAGAGAGCTGAGTTGCTCCACTGCAGTTGTTTTGTTCTACTAGGTGAGAACCTAACTGCTTGCCTTGCTTGAGTGAACACCCATCAAATGCAATTAGAAAATAATGGGGGCGGGAGGCTGAAAAGGTAGTGCTTCCTTTTTCTTATTCATCAACGTCCTGTGTGGTGTCCACTCCACCTCCCCACCTCATGAGTAATCTACAGGGGGGTGACTGGCCTCCTCTGCCACCTCAGCATCAAGCCTCTGAGAGGCCAGAGGCCAGGTGTGAAAGGCCAGCCTTCTTCCAGGTCACATCAAGACTCCACACAGCCCTGGTCCTTATTCTGGGCCAAGGCTGGTGCTTGTTGCCCCTTCCCTCCCTCGGCCTCCTGGAAGCTTGAGGCTGTTGGGGCCAAAGCCTCCTGAAACTCAGTGAGTCTTGCCCCCACCCCACTCCAGACAGGTCTCCCCAGGGACCAAGCCTCTTTGGGCTTTTGTAGCTTCTTGCCGCCCCCTTCCCTACCAGTTCCCTCCTGAGGCTCCTACCTCAGCCCCTGCATAAGTCCTTTATCAGAGAGATTTATTTCTACATATTTTTCTGTTGTTGGAGGAGGGAGAATAAAGGGCATTTTGCTTCAAGTGGAGGCAGGAGAGACCCAGGTCCTCTCACTATCGCTCACTATGGACAAAAGCCTTAGCCACCAGAGCCTCCACTTCTGAGCTGTCCCACAGGGCTAAGAGCTGCCTTGCATTCACAAAATTGACCTCAGAACCTCATGAGGTAATAGGGGAAACCTCATGATAATATGGGAAACAGGAAGAGCTAGACAAGCCCAAAGAACCGTCAGTCAGTAAATTCTGTTGCTGTGTCCTACAGAGCCACTTGCTTAGCTGCCAGATGACTGTCAGTTCCTCTCAGGATACCCTCCAGGCCAGAGTCACCCCAGATAGATTGTCACAGAGGGACAGCTCACTGGGCACCTACTCTCAGGCTGTAAGTTGAGGCAAGGTCTCAAAGCTTTGGGCCTGTTGTTAGGGAAAGAAGGCAGCCTGGTGCAGCCACTCACCGGTCCGCTCTGCTCCGCTCCATGCAAGGCATGCTCCTGCTGCCTCCTTTGCCCCCTCACCCTGCAACTTCAGTGATGCCATTCATCCCTGGGGGGCTCAGCCGACGGACTGTAGCCAATTAGCAAACAGCTAAAGCTTGGAGGTGGTGGGAAGAGGAGGGCCGGTAGTTACCTGGGTCTGGGCCTCTGGTCACTGCGAGAATCCTGAGAGCTCTGATGGGTGGCTGGGGCCCAGGTCTTCTCAGAACTGGAGCCGGGGAAGCCCCAAAAGGGTATGGGCCTCTCGTGTGGGGCAGGGGAAGGGTACTGCTCTCCGCCTCCCTCTTGTCTACTCAGCCAGACTGCTCATGTCCCTACCTCAGCTCATTAGGATTGGGGCTGCTGCTTTCCATAAGGCACCTTTGTGAGAAGGACAAAAAGGGTCCCCTAACTCCAAGAGGACATAGCCTCATGCCAGGGTGCAAAACTTGGCGTGGGCTAGCTTTAGCGCCTGTCACCCTGGGCTGAACACCCTTGGTGGGGTACTAGCCCTGCTTGGGACCATCTCCTCCTTGCCCCTTGCCTATTCAAATACGCCTTTCCTCAAAGAGGCAAGGCTGTGGGACTCGGGGCCAGGCATGGTCCACTTAACATGGTTCTGGAATGTTAAAACTTTCCTCCTGTTTTCACCTTAAGCAGCAAAGACTCCTCCCTGCTCAACTCAAAAGGGTAGAGAAAGATGAATTCGATTGCTCTGAAATACCTTCTGGGGGACTCTAGGTCCAAAACTCCAGGGTGCTTCCCCTGAGAGCTGAATGAAAGGAGAGAGAACAGATTTTCTGGGAAAACAGGGAGAACTGTGCCTGTTCCCTGGACCAAAGAGGCAAAGCAACAGGAGCTGAAGGCCAGGCCTCCAGCTGCTCCCCATCAGCTTCCCCCACCCCAGGAACAAATCCAGCCAGGCCAGGGCCACCTGGGCGCACAGCCTGGTGATGGGCGGGCACATTGCCCAGCAGGACTTCCTGTGGGGCAGTTAGGAGGCTATGAGAGCAAAGGACACTGCCTGCTCCTGGGTGGGGTTCCCCCTTACACCCCTGCTACTCAGCTCGACTCTGGACATCCCACTGGCAGACACACAGGCTGTGGAGTCCGAGTCCCGAGTTCAACCCAGCAGTGGGGCCTTGGGCAAGTGGACTGGCTCCTCTGAGCCTCAGTTTTCTCACCTATGAAATGGAGATAAGAAGGTCTGCTTGGCAGGTGGTGAGGTTTAAATAAGGTAAGTGACATCCACGCCTTTGACGGAGGGGGGCACGGAGCTGCTGTGTTCGTTACAAAGCCAAATGGAAGCTGGCACATTACCCAGATCACCGCGGCAAAGTGGGCCTGTTGGCGACAGTGTGCCCAGCTTCCCGTGATGCAGTAGGTGTGGGGCCGCCTTTGTGCCCCTGTGCCTCCCGCTTCTGCGTCCCCCGCCCATTCCCCCCACATAGGGGCTGCTGCCTGGGACAGAAGCCCATCTGGGCTCAGGCGGTGTGTGTCAAGGGGCAGATCCCCTCTCTAAGCAGCCCAGAGCACTGCAGCTACTGATCTAGTCGAGCCCTTTCATTCTGCAGGTGGGGAAACAGAGGACCCAGAGAGGAGGCCAAGGAATGTTCTCAACTTGCTCACCTGGTTCAAGCTGCCCAGGGTCCACCCCTCCCTCCCTCAGTACAACAGTCCCAGCCCCTTTCCGCAGTGTCCACCCAGTATTTTCACAGGCTTGACTCTTACACAGGGGGGCACTAAGGGCATATGTGTGAGGAAGACGCTGGAAAGGCTTCGAGGATAAGGGGGGTCACTGGTAGAAGTTGGGGGTGTGATTCTACCTTGATGCCATCATCCCATCTAGATGAGCAGATCTTCAAGGAAGCCAGCGTTCCTTGAGCGTTTTGCATTCCTTTAGGCAAAGTTTTAACCACCTGTTCCTGTTAGTGCAGTCTTGCCCAGTTCTCCCCAAGATTCTTGGAATCACTTCATCCCTGAAATGAAGAAAAGCCAAGCAGGTAAAAGTAGGAGGAAGAGAAGAGACTATAACTTCCAACGGCTTGCTCTGGAGCTGTAGCTGGGAGAGCATTCCTGCCTAGTCCTGCCTGTTAAATCTTCTCCAGAGAAGAAAGATGCTTATAGATGCTGGCAGGCCTAGACTAGCACAGGCAGTGCAGGCTTTAGCAGAGGCCTACCGGGCCCACACAGAGGGAAAGAGCATTCTGAGAACAGCTAGCAAACCTGGGGTTCCCAGATGCATCACACATGCACCGAGGAGGTCCATTCTGAGTGGGTGTTCTAGGGTCTGGAGTTAGATCATCTCAGCCAGAGGTTCTGGGTTCAGCTGACTTTATTAGATCCAAATAGAGCTGTAGGTGCCACGTGGTGAATGTGTGTAGCTGAGGGTGGGTGCCGCAGAGTGGGCTCGTGCTAAATGCCTTCTTGCCTAGTGTCCAGCAGCTTGGAGGATCTCCAGGGCCAAGGAAGCCACTGCACTGTTGGCCAACGAACTGTGAGAAAAACCAAAGTAGAGACATTTAGGCATCCCCAGGGTAAAATGCTCTGTCTCCCAAAGGGGCTGGCCTCTTTTGCACCCGAGTACCTGATGGACCAGCTGCTTCCCAGAGCTGCCCCTAGCATCATCCTGAGAAGCAGAAACAGCGTTTGCAGGCTCCAGGGCCATGAGGTGAGGACCCCGAAGCCCACAGTCCCACAGGGGCTCAGCACCGGCCCTGCCACCCACCCCTCGACGTCTGAGCCCACTTTGGCCAGGTGCACCGATGCTGAGCTGTGAGGGCAAGTCAGGCGGACGGCAGCCAGAGCCTGCTGGCCCGAGGCCCACAGTGAGCCTGCCCGGCGCCTGCCTGCAGCTGACTTGTGCCATCCAGCAAAGATCCCAGCTGCTGACACTCCCTGCTCCATGCTGCCCCTTCTGGCCAATGAGCCAGAAGCTTATTCTCATAGGTCTCATGGGTTTCTTATTCTCATAGGTGTGGATGTGCAATTAAGAGCTTCAAATGGAAACTTCGTTATTGGAGCAAACTGTTTGAGACACATTTAAACCTGTGCTTTAACAACTGTCACCAAAGAAAAGAATGGCGCGTAGCAGTGTGCCTTGAAGTATCAAATTAGCTGACAGCACGCCCTTCGCTACACAGAAATACAGCTGTTGCCAAGTGCCAGGGGGCTGCATAAAAGAGGTGGGTCGCAGGGGGACAGGACTGTGGTCGGAGATGGTGCCATCAAAGGCCCCTTTGAGGGCCGAGGGAATGCACTTGAACTTGGCCTGCTCCCGGCTGAGACCAGGCTACTCGGGTGGAGCCGTGCTGCCCGCTCCGCCTGCCAGAGCAGCCCTTGGGGGCCAGTGACTGGCAAGGAGGACACACCCACCTGGCAGGGCCCCATCAGAACTGAGAATGCTGCCACCCGGTCACTCTTTGTCAACACGAGAAACGCTTTTTCTGGTGGGGCCATCCGAACAAAGCCCGAACAGGACAATTTCAGAGCAGCAGCCTGTCGACCAGTATGAGACCTGCCTGGTGTAGACGTGTTAGTTGCTGGAGTGACACGTGTGGGTACGGAAGAGGCCACCAGCCTCAGGGAGGCTCGTTTTCACATGTTTGGTCCAAATTTGGGTCCAGCGCTCCCAAACTGGTACAGCATGAAGATGTGCCGGCCTCGGACCCAGCTGGGGGGCGGGGGAGTCCCACACAGGCAGGCCGTGGAGAGGAAGGGCTCTCAGCAGCTCCCCACTCAAGTCCATGCCTCCCGGTGGCTCTCCCACCCTCTGCCAGCACACATCTGCTCTGCTCACAGGGGCCTCATCTCAGCTGTCTGCACAAGGCCAGGGTCCCCAGGTATGGGCATCACCTGCTCCTCACAAAAACCAGTCTAGCGGAAGGCCTGTGGCCCAGCCCGGGGAGCCAGTGTCCCTGCCTTACACCACAGGGGCCCCCGGGCTGAGCAGGGGCCCCTCCCATCAAAGTCAGCCCGTCCTTCCCCTCAGCTCACAGTAACCACGGGTAAGAACTGACATCTTTGGCTTAAGCTACAGAGTAAAGGGGGTGGGGTAGGCCAGGAGGCGCTGTCCCCTCCCCACCCAATCCAGGATTAATACAACAAGGCTGCATGGAGCTGAGCCTTCGCAGACTCACCTTCCCAGCAATACCTCAACCGCATATGCTTCTCCAACTAATACAAAACCCCAAACACCAGGAAGCAGATTCCATAGAACCTTTTGGCCCTGAAAACAAACTACCAGGAATGCCGTGCACCACCCCGCGTCCCGCACACCCAGCGAAGGCCAGGTACCCCTTAGCAGGTGGGGCCTCCTCCCCAGGGCAGGGAGAGCAGCTGCAGCTCAGGGGCCACCACGCCCTCCGGCCGCCTCCCTCAGCTCTGGGGACAAGGCACTCACCCGAGTCATTTAATCAAGCCCCTGAACTGCCCCCAGAGCCCACCTGCCAGGCCCTGGCGCTGTCACATGCAGTGAGCCATTACACAGCACACCGGCTGCCTAAAGGGTGGATACCTGGGGGCAGTTCTCTCTTTATTCCCATGCCATTTTTCTCTGGTCACGTGGCACTAACATTTTAAATGACTCGTCAGCCCTACCCGCCCCCCCGCCCCCCCAACCCTGGAACCGCCTCTCCAGGGAGTGCAGGGGTGTGTGCGGCAAGAACCCTCCCAGCGCCCTCACTACACCGGCATTGGCGTCACCGGGGGGCTGGCAGAGAGGCCGGTTCCTCCCTCCACAGGGTGCAGCGTGTTCCGGGTGACAGGGCCGTCCTGGTCTCGGCACCTCACTTCCAGGATGCTCTAGACGTACTGACTGTGAAGCTGAGGACTGAGAGGCTGACCTAACCTCAGCTTCTCAGTGTCAAACTCTTCTAGGCGTTCAAGTTTTCCCTCTGACGGCAGCCGGGGCTGTAGAGTGGGCCTCCAGACCCTCTGCAAGGTGGTGGTAATGGGGCCCCTGGCCAGGCTGCTGCGGGGGGCACGTGTGCACAAACAGGTACTGCTTTTCTCATGAGGTTCATCAGGTCTCCCACCTGGTCATAATCCGCTCCCGTCCCCATCTGTAGATGGGAATACGGCCTCCCCGTGCTGCACGGCTAGGATGCTCTTCTTTTCTCCCTCCTGTTACCTCCCCCAGCCTCCATAGTGGGGACTCCGGGGGGTGGGGGGGCAGAGTGGCCCATCCCACACTGGGAGGGAGGGATCTCAGTGCGCAGTGTCAGGCGAGAAGGTGATGGTCCCTGGTGTGTAGGGGAAACCGGGGGGCGGGGGAAGAAAGAAGAGTGGAGAAAAGGAATGCCAGGCTATTTGCTGAGCCCAGGTACGCTCTGTGCTGCTCCTCCCACAGCCCTCCTGGGCCTACGTACCCCCCAGCCGGAGCCAGCCACTCCAGAGCCCGCAGGAGGCTGCCCGAATTCTTGAGGCTCTCCAGGTGCTTCTCATTGGAGGTGATCTGCAAGGGAGGGAGAGGAAAGCGGTCGGCTGGCCCATCCCTGACCCACGATCCGTTGGACGGGCACCCTGAGTCTCAGGCCACCAGTGCTATCGGGCAGTGAGCCCTGAGCCCCAGTGCGCTGCTGACCACGGAGGCAACCCTTGGGGTGAGCAGGAAGGAGTCCGCTGCAGCTGGAGATGCACCAGGGGAGGATGGGGTGCCTCCCGTCGGTCCCTCAGGAGGGTCTGTGTTCTGGAAGCCTGAACATTTCAGTTAAAGCAGATCATGGGTGAACAAACTTTCCAGTTGTCGGTTCCGGGACCCAGTGGGCCCATGCGTCCCAAGCCCAACACAACCTCTTTCATATAGACAGAAGGATGATGCTGGGCTCCCGTGATCTCAGGAGCCTGGGAAAAGAAAGAGGCACTAGGAATCAAACTGGTCACACCCTCACCCGCGTACCCTGGGAAGTGTGCCTCTGCCAATGGCCGCCGTCCCGGGAGACACAGAGGAGGGACACTTGGGCACCAGAGGCAGAATCATAAACTCTCAGGGCTGGAAGGGACTCGGATAGGTGCTGACCCAGCCCAGGCTCCTGGAGACCTCCCAATTCAGCCCTTCGGTAAAACGAGTCCATGCCCTACGAGGCAGAGAAGACTTGAGGAATGAACCTTGATTCTGCAATTAGACTGTTTCTCTTAATGCACGTTTCATGTCCTATTTTTATCTTTGATATTTAATAAATATTTTCTAATAAACACTTGTATGGAACTTCACATTTCAAAAGGCTCTGCAGTTTCCTGTACATTTTCTCACTTATCCCTTTCAGTAGCCTCACCTTGCAAGGTAAGCATGTAGTGTGTTTTATAGATGAGGTGACTGAAGCTTAGTGAGATTAAGGGACCACTACGGCAGTACACAGGGAGCTTGACCCTAACCCCACATGAGGCTGGAACCAGGCGGGCCTCGGCTGTCCCCACCATTTTCTGTCTTTCCACTTGATCATAGCAACCAGGGCTGGATTATCATCTCTGTAGTTCTCAGGGAGAGGCTGAATATTTCTTAATCAATCACTCATGGTGATAGGAAGGTCACAGGGGTAGTTAGACCTTAATGTGGCCTCTGAATTGCACGTGAATGAATTTGTACCTCCACTGAGCCCCTGTCCCGCTTCCTGAGTGTGCCAGACCCCAGCTGCCAGCTCGACTGCATCAGGTGTAATTTCTGCAGAGATTTGCATCTTAAAAGAGCTGTGTGTAAATCTGTTCTGAAATTACACCCCACTTGATGAGTTCAGAAGGCTGCTGTAGTTCAATTCTGTCTGAAGCAAGCACAAACTTACCCTGAAAGGGTCTTCAGCGAGGATTCCCATCTAATTTTTCTCAAAACCCTGCCTCATACAGCTCAGTTGAGCTACATCCAGACTCACTGCCCTTACCAGCCCTACCGTGGGATCGTGGGTAAGAGGCTGTGCTCCAAGTTGCAAAGAGATAACAAGGCTACATTCACTCACGAGGCTAGTTGGAAGGTGCAAACAGAAGAATACGGTGAAAACTGTGTGATCAAAGCGAGAGACGAGAATAGCACCGTGCGCAGCTGACAATAAATGCAAGCATAAACAAAGCCAAGAGGATTAATTGAAAACTATGTGATTTGGCCACTTACCTGAACTCTTACTAGCAACATCAGTTGTTGTTCTATCAATATGAGTTAATTAGAAAATAAAAATTTTAAATAATATCAATCAGAGGTTCTAGTTCTGGGAAAGACAGAGAAAACACATGCCCCCCTTTCCATGTAAAACCTGAACAGAATGCACAGGGCAGCTCTTTCAGAACACTGAAGAGTAAACAACACTGGCAGATTGGGGAAGGACACTGAAACCGAAGCGCCATCTCCTCTCTCCCTCCAGTACAGACCACCTTGAACTCAACACACCCAAACCCCAGAAGTGGGGCACAAGAGAGAGCCCCAGGAGAAGCCAGGCTTGAGGAATGGGAAAGGAAACTTCGAAAAGCTCAGAGAGAGTAGATGAACCCCCCTTTCCTTTTCCTCAGT